GGAAGGCTGCACTGTTCGTGAGGACGGAAAGGTTGTCAATGATGACGATGAAGTGGTAGGCCAAGTTGTCGAAGGGTCTTACAAGAAGCTTGAAAAATTAGTTGGCAAAAAGGTGACTCCTGAGCACACTATTGTCAATAATAAGGGCAAGCAATTGGCCACTGTCGAACCACTTAATGATGATTCTGAGGATTCTGAGGATTCTGAAGATGAAGGATCCTTGGAAGGCTGCACTGTTCGTGAGGACGGAAAGGTTGTCAACGATGACGGTAAAGTAGTAGGCCAAGTTGTTAAAGGGTCCTACAAAAAGCTTGATCCATTGGTTGGCAAAAAGGTTACTGCTGATTACACCATTGTCAATAAAAAGGGTAAGAAGTTGGGTGCTGTTGAACATATTGACGAGGATGAAGGCCTAAGCGAAGAAGAACAGGAAGAGAGAAACCGGAGCATGAGTCGTTTGAGCGGGTTAGTCCGAAGCTCCATTGACAAGGTCAGGCCATTTACGGATATGATCCAATCCAAGATGGAGAAAGAAGAATTGCCAGTTGAAGAATTGAACTCGGTTACTACACGAGCAGAACGTATTATTGGTGAAGTTCGTGGTGGTATTAGAGCAATTGATCCTGAAGAGAGCTTGATTAATGATGCCAAAGACAAATATCATGGTGGTGGCGAGCCTAGTCGAGAACAACAAGAGTTAGTTAAGACTATTGAGTCGCTTGACGAGCAAGAAGAGATTGTCCAGAACGCTAGAGAAAAGTTGGAAAACTATGAACCACCAGAACATGAGCCAACCGAGGAAGAAAAAGAAGAACAGAGACAATTAGAGGAAAGGCGTGATAGGGCGTCGCAGATGTCAAACGTGATTGACACTTGTATCGACAAGACTAAGCCGTTGATAAACCAAATCAAACAGCACATGGATAACGCCGACCGTGACCAAAAGAATGGTGACTTGGACCAAGAGAAGTTGGTCAACAATGTCAAGCCATTGTTACAAGAGGCTACGAACATTATGAACGACACTTGGGGCGGTATTCGGGCATTGGACCCAGATGGCAAGATTCAGAAACAAGCCAAGGGCAAGGGTTCTGGCGAGATCACTCAAGAAGAGTACTACTTGGCTGATAGGTTGACGTATCTCAGTGACCATGTACAAACATTTATTGACGATACTCGGAGCAAATTGGAAAACATGCCAGAGGCAAAGAAGGACTTAGGCCCATTGTTGGATATGTTGCAGAATCCGTTGTTCCAAATTATTAGTGCAGTAGGGTTGTTATTGTCCGGTGTGTTGGGCTTGGTAAAAAATTTGCTCGGCGGACTTGGACTTGACTCTATTTTGAGCGGTATTGGTCTTGAAAAGGTGTTAGATGGTATTTTGTAATGTTTTGAGAGATAAATTTTGTATATTTTCGTTAGTTTAATTGAGATTTAGTTTAATTGAGATTTATTTGGAACAATTATTCTTAGATGTAAATCCTACACAGTACCCAACCTCGCTTATGCATCAGTTCCATGCCGTGGAACACGCAGCAACAATATTTGGCTATAACAGGGTGCGGACTTCAACTTTTTCTTGACGGATAAGTTACGATTCGGAGACTTCCTCAAATAGATTAACAAGAAGAAAGAAATAGAAAAACGCTGCAGCGAGGTGATACAGAGCGACCGTTCTTTTCCTCGCTTTGTTTGGTCTACTTTCGGTTCAATGACACACACTAACGTTTTTTACACACTAAAGTTTTTTACAAAGTCTCGAGAGTACGACAGCTAGTTGAGAATGACTTTCCGGGTGTTCTTATTACAATAAGGACGTATTTTGCACTCAGGCATGAGCTGACGAGGCAACGAATAAAATCTGAGTTTGGTGTATGTATTTATCTGGTGCATGGATAGCTGAACACAAGTAGAACGGTGAAAAGTTGAGATTTTGCACCCACTGTTCTAGCGGTTTGGTATCGCTTGGCAATTAGACGCCAAACAAATTAAAACTTACAAAACCATAGTAGAAAAAGAACTTTAAGAATTACACACAAACGACGCCATTTCAAGCACAAGCACATGCCACCTGTCAACAGACAGGCGATGATGTCCAACAAGTAAAGTGCGATATATGGGACAACGTAAAACGAAATGAAAAAATAATTAGTGCGTCAACGTTGCAAGCGACATGAAATCTAGATTCTATACTTCATTTCAATGCGAAACTTGTTCTTGAACAATCACGAATCGCGGTAAGAAGACCTATTTTTGTATCGGAGATAATGTTTGTGGAATGTATACTCATATCTTTGGTACAGGTACTGTTTCTGAGTATGTTTTGCTTGATGCGCCGTCCTCAGACTCTTCTGTTGTAGTGCCAAAGAATTTGTCTTTGAACGAAACTGCCGCGTGGCCGTGAATCTAGGCACAGCTTGGCAATGACTGAAGGACGTATTAAAATTCGATCCACAGGTATTAGTTCTCGGGGAATCTACGGCAGTTGGTAGATTTTGCGTTCAGTTGTGCAAGAATTATTTTAAAGCTGGTGAAGTAATTGCTACATGCTCGTCTTCATCAGCAACACTTATAAGGGAGATGGGTGAGGATGACACTATCGACTATACAAAATATCCTAGTATCGAGGAGCAAGTTTTACAGGCCGCAGGGTCAGGTAAATTTGGCGTTATATTAGATTGTTGTAGTAATAATGACCTTTTCGCATCTATGCCAAAAATATTAATGTCAAAATCACATTATGTGACTACTGCTGGGGACAAAAAGTTCAAGTGTTCGAATGTGAGCTTGTTTAACAATATAATGCCAACTCTCAAGCCTATATTCAGAATGTTACTCTCTTCTATGAGGTTGATCTCGTACTCTTTTGCAATCACAGGAGTGAAGCCAGGGAAACAATGGGTTGAGTTAGGTAAACAACTAATTGAGGATGGAAAGATCAAAATAACGGTTGATAGTGTTCATCACTTTGAAACTTTCATGACGCTATCAAAAGAATGGAGAGTCAAAGGGCGAGTGGTAAAATTACTATTCAATTAGATGAACAGTGACTTCTTTATTTATTTCTTTCACATTCAACACAAGTCGATTGGAGTCTTACAATAAGACACAATTAGAGAGCTAACCACAATTTACGATTCCTGTTTATATGAACATATTTATAATTTCTAACAGCTATTATACACTAATCGAAAACACTTGTAAATTTATCGCGAATCACTGTTAAGCTTAATTACAGTGAATACATTGCACTTTTACTCAAATTTATCACGTCAATTCCCTTAAGTTTCTAGGCAACAGAGATGAATTTGCTATTGTAATTGTATATGAATTGGCAGATAGTTGTAAACCTGATGCGAAAAAAATTGGGGCGAGCTGGGAATTGAACCCAGGGCCTCTCGCATGCTTGTAGTAATCAATTTAGTTTCCTAAATCGTCGCCCAAAGCGAGAATCATACCACTAGACCACACGCCCGAATCTTAGTTTTGATATTTCCTGTAGCAACTATTTAGTATTAATTGATAATTTGCCCCACACTAAAAGCATATAGAGCCACATTTGACATCTTCGGCTAATGCTTTTCATCGACTCTATTAGCCGTCTTCTAATTGTTTTTCTTCTTTCTACAATTAATCAGACCAACTATGGCATTTTCTACTAAAGCCTTTAGAAGCTGCAGATCGTTGCCATTGAGACTTCATTCGAAAGCTTTCTTCAGATGCAATACCAGACTTTATTCTTCAGCACGCACAAACTCCGAAGCTCTGTCAACTATTAAATATGTTGCGGGTGCTTTACTTTTTGGAAGCGGTATTTCCATGGGAATCTACTGGAATCGGGCAAAGAGTTCCAAGGGAACATTGAATAATGATAATACAACAGATAATTCAACTAGTAGGCTCGGAAGTGTTTCTCCAGTCCAGTATGCTACCGAAGCAGACTTCAAAAAGGCTATTAAGGAAATCAAGAAAATTGTTGGCAAAGATAACATCAGCACTGATGCAGATGTTATTCTTTCTCATAGTGATTCGTTTTTTAGTACCCATCATCCTCCAAATCCAACCGAACAAAAACCGCAAGTGGTGATTTACCCTAACTCTACGGAGGATGTCTCGGAAATTGTGAAGGTTATGCACAAGTATCGTGTTCCCATTGTCGCCAGCTCGGGATTGACATCGTTGGAAGGCCATACGATGCATACTAGAGGGCCGATCAGTGTTTCGTTGTCGTTTGACCGTATGGATAATGTGCTTGCAGTTCATCCTGTCGATCTTGATGCCATAGTCCAGCCTGGTGTGGGATGGCAAGAATTGGATGAATACTTACAGGGTGATAGCTCCACCGAGCATCTTATGCTCGGACCCGATCCTGGTATTGGGGCAAGAATTGGTGGTATGGTCGGTAGCAGTTGTTCTGGTACTAATGCCTACAAGTATGGTACCATGAAGGAAAACGTGGTTAATTTAACTGTTGTGTTAGCGGACGGAACTATCATTAAGACTAAACAAAGACCTAGAAAGTCCAGTGCTGGTTATGATATGACAAGATTATTTATTGGTTCTGAAGGTACTTTGGGAATTATTACAGAAATCACCGTTAAGTTGCATGTACGTCCTAAACTTGAGTTGGTCAGTGTGGCAACTTTCCCCACTATAGCAGATGCAGCTAGCACTGCCCAGGCAATCATCAAAAGTGGTCTTCAAATGAATGCCATTGAGCTTTTGAACGCAACTATGGTCTCTTTTGTTAACAACTACGGCGGTGTTACAGATGAAAATGACGAACCAAAGAAATTTATTGAAAAACCAACTTTGCTTTTCAAGGTGGGTGGTCCATCGAAAACAGCAATCGATGAGCAGCTCGAATTAATTGAAGCTATCAGTAAGGAAAATCACTTGGTAAAGCTCGAAAGTTCTCATAACGAAGACGAGAACGCCATCTTATGGTCATCCCGTAGGAATGGCTTATGGTCTACCGTGCAATACGGATCTGAGATTCTCGAAGATAAGAATGATGTCCAGATCTGGACCACCGATTTCGCTGTCCCTATTTCCCACTTAGCAAACGTTATTGCCGAGACAAACGACGATTTGAACAACCTGGGATTCCAGGATAAGTTCTCTGTCCTAGGTCATGTGGGAGATGGCAATTGTCACTTCTTAATTGTATATAATACTAAAGACTACCGGAGAGTTAGCGAAGCAGTTGATAGAATGGTTTTCCGGGCATTAAAGTATGAAGGAACATGTACCGGAGAACATGGCGTAGGTGTCGGTAAGAGAAAATACTTGAACACTGAACTTGGTACCACCACTGTGGATTTAATGAGACATCTCAAGTTGCTGATGGATCCCAGAAGAATCTTGAATCCTGATAAAATATTCAAGCTCGATTCTACCGATACTTTAGATGAACAGTTAGAACACGGGGATATCAAAGCAGTCGGTGCTCCCTGTTGTAGCTCATAGAATTATATAATACATATATAACATATAATTTAATCTTATAAAGCTGCAAATGGACTGAGCTCGTGATTTTCATTTTTAAACATTTCGCAAGAAGTAGACACATTAACCATAATCATAAAGTTTGCTGAATTATACAATAGTAAGGATGGTTTGGGTAGATGCTTATCCTACGTCACTGATATCCTTAACTGGAGATGAGCCTATTCTAAAACTTATTCGTATCCCACATACTCCCCTAATTGGATTGTTGACTAAATCAAGTTTGTTGATTTACAATCAGCATTCCTTATTGTTAGTAGCACATCATATAAGAACCGACGAGTCATTACAACAACATGGAGAAAATATCAACGTAAAATGCAAGCATATATCGGTTAACAATGCTCAATTACAACAATTGGCTATCGTAAATCTATTCGTTGAAACAGATTTAAGCTGTTTGGTGATTTACCAAGTCATGATAAATTATTCGAAATCTTTATACGAAGTACATAATAAGCAAAATGATGAGTTATTGCAAACAGGCTTACCATTGAGTTTTACTTCACATAAGTTTTCTTTGGTTAATATGATAAAATCAGCAACGAAAACTATCATGCAAGGGAATCAAGTGCTGGTGAATCTAGAGAATATAGAGCATTTTAACAACTGTTCCATTGAAGACGAATTAAGCAATTTCAAAATTGAGTATGTGAAGTTGTCGGTCTATAAGGTATTGAAAATTGGTATTGGGATCTCAAAATATTGGATTAAACAAAATTCCCACAATGTTCTACTTTTTAATAATAAGAACGAAAAATGTTCTGGTGATCATGCTCAGTCATTGCCAGAAGACGATAATTATTTCCAACTTATAAACATAAAGAATTTTAAGAATGAAGTGTTTCAATTTTCGGAACTAGAATGGTATGATCACGATTCGAAAGTTATGCACATTACATTTAATTACTATCGGAACTTCATTTTATTGATTAATGACAAATGCCAAATATGGTATATGAAATTTGAACAAGGTGAAGACTTAAAAGTTAAAATAGTTGGTCTGAAAGTATTTGAATTTGACGAAGTAGAAACACCCGAATACAAAATATCTTTCAATCCCAAATTTGACTTAGTTTCAATAAGAATAGGCAGTAAAATTAAACTATTCAAATTCCATGAAAAGACAAATACTAACTCATTGGAATTCGTCAAAGATATTGACTTTGAATTCACCAATGGTGAGATAGAGATCCACTGGTCGCCATGTGGTAAATTTTTTGTGGTGTTTAACAAAGAGTCTGGATATTGGTCCATCTACTCAAAGTTTGGTAATAACTCGTTTAGCTCGTTTGAAATCTTGAATGAAGCTAATTCCCAGAATAATGCCGATACTGACCCTATCACAAATTTTCTAAAGATTTCAAGCGTATTAATTACCTCCAACTCAAGTCAATTGATATTAATGAATAAGAACAAAACCCATTTATATTTGGTTGACCTATTATCGTTAGCCAACGGGAACCACTCTGGATCAAGTTCAGATTTAATTTTTTACAATAATGAGTATATCAGTATATTGTCCAACTACAGTGCCAACGCGGCAAATAATTTTATTCGATTCCCTATGTTACCTTTATTTAAGGATATATTTAGAAAGATTGAAAATTTTAATGGTTCAAGTTCATCGGTTAAATATCCGAGTGGACAATTGCGATTCTCGTCTAATAGATATAGACAGATATCGGTAACATACGGAGACCACATTGCCGTTTCTACTCCATATAATAGTGGGCATGATGTTAACCAGATATTATGGTTCAATTTCCGTGACTATTACATTGAACCTCTTAACATAATTGAACATTTTTGGTTTGATGATTATTTAATTCTATTTAATAGAACAGTGCAGGAGGGTATTTTTGTTGATGAAATTATGGTATTAGATACTTCGTTATCAAAATATGGACATGGTGGTACAAACTTCAAGTTTGATAGTGATTTGATTATTTGGAAGCACAACTTGAACTGTAAATTTATTTGTTATGAATTGAGTGATCGAGAAGAGACTACATTGAAAGGAAATGGAATTGATCTAAGTAAGAATTTAATGATTGTAACCGATGATAAGAAAATTATTATATTCGAATTATCAAAATATGAGTCAAGTATGCTTATCAAGAAACGTTTGCAAAGCGGAAACCCACATCGAAATCTGGATGATCTGGATGATTCAGATGTTAAGAATTATAAGATTTTCATTGGCTTAAGCAAAACAGTTCATTTGAATAGTATCCAGGATAAATTGGCCATACCCGATATCAGCCAGGTCAGCATGGTGGAGAATAAGCATTTCTTATTATTGTTGAATAATGGGGATTTATTTTTATTGAAAAACTATACTTCGAAGCCATCGATGGACGAATCAAATGGTGCATTAAAGCAACCGAGTAACATGTACGAATTAATCAAAATAAAGGGATCGATCGAGTATTATCAATTACAATCGATTAATTACATCAAACAGAATAAAATATCTTACTTGTACTTATTCAACGGTGAGTCCTTATTGATTTATAATTTACTAGAAATGATTGAACTGGCATTTGGCACTCATAATCGCGTACCTGATAACATCGACGATTTGGAACTTCGAATGGTTGATCCAATTACCATTGCGGTGCACGATTTCCAACCCCTCGTCATCGAAAACACCGTTAGTGAGAGTTCAGCAGGCCTCAAGTCAATTGATCTCGTAGGATTGGAAAGCATCTCATTCTACAAAAACAATTATTTGATTGTGAAAAACAAAATGAACCATAAATTAATTCTAAACAATTTCATAGAATATGACGTCTCCACAAAATTCGACATCGAATCGATCTTGCTCAAATACCAGCCGTTCAATAACTTCGACTACTGTCTCGAGTTGCTATTATTCAACTACCTTACCTCCAACAGTGCTGACTATCTCTCCAAGATCATCGAGCTAATCAACCACACATACCTGCCTGAGTCCATCTACATCAACTGCTTGAGAAAAATAGAAATTGCCTACTGGCAAACCTTTTTTGAACATTTGAAGACAACTCCAACCGAGTTCATGAATAAGTTAATCGAAATCGGCAGTGTGGAATTATGCTACAACTATCTCATCATTTACCTAAACTTCAAGAAAGAACACGAAGACACCTCGTCTGACATATCATTAGATTCGCATGACACTGAGATCATTCTTAAAATCATCAAAATGCTCGATAAATCTCAAAACTGGGACTGGTGTTTCGAGCTTTGTCGGTTCATAAAGCTATTGGAGCCTTCAGGCAACTTGTTAAAACAAATCGAAGTAGTACTTAAGTAATTAGAATAGGCAGTATAATGATTGCAAAATATATGATGATGGCACGACAGAATTTTTTTTGCGTGGTTAGGCAGCCCGGTTGAGCTCGGTTTAACCAACCAAAATTCATCTTTTTGAACTTCATAATAGTAATATAGTAAAGAACAAGCCAGTAAACCGTAATACAAACGATAAAATGACATTAGCTACTGAGTTCGCCGAAACTACACGTCGTTCAGCTACTAATGCTGAATTAAGATTGAGAGTTTTGCACTTATACCGTAAATACATGAGACATTCCAGAGATTTCTGTGATATTTATGAGTTGGATATGCCAGTTTCCAACGTCAAGACCAAGATTAGACAAGAATTCGAAAGACAGAGATACGTCAAGGACTTGCCAGTGAATAACGTGTTATTGATGAAAGGACAAATGGAATTTCAAGAGTTGATCAATTTCTGGAAACAACAGTGCCATGTTATGAGATACTTTGAAGATCAAAGTGACTACGGAGTGGTTGACAAGAACGATTTTGTTAGAAATTTCTTGAGGGGCAATTAGATAGATGTATCATAGTTGGTTGCTTCTGATTGAACTTGCATTTTTTTATATGGATAGTATATCCAGTCATATTTCTTAGAGACGGCAGACTTGGTGAGCAGGCCGTCAACTTTATATTAGTATATTATAATGAACATTCACTAATGGTACAGAGATGTAGGAGTAATACAGCGCAAGTACGAATTAAGCAATATATAAACCTATAAACCAAAACATTATATAAATAATATATAAGTAATCACACTAAAGGGACAAAAAACAGAGAAGGAAAGAAACGAGGAAAAATTAGGGTATAAACAACTATATATATTAAAAGAGAATTATGTTTATTCTAAACCATCTTCTAATGGAACTTCATCAGCATAATCCAATTCTTCTTCGTCATCAACACCGGCATCTTGGTATTGTTGGTATTCACTGACCAAATCGTTCATGTTAGATTCAGCTTCGGTGAATTCCATTTCATCCATACCTTCGGAAGTATACCAATGTAAGAAAGCCTTTCTTCTGAACATCGCACTGAATTGATCACCAACTCTCTTGAACAATTCTTGAATCGAGGTGGAGTTACCAATAAAGGTGGCAGACATGTCCAAATCCTTTGGAGGAACCGAACAAACGGCAGTTTGAACATTATTAGGGATCCATTCGACGAAGTACGAAGAGTTTCTAGTTTGAACCTTGTGCATCTCGTCGTCGACTTCCTTGGTGGAAACCTTACCTCTGAAGAACGCGGCCACAGTTAAGTAACGACCGTTTCTTGGGTCGGAGGCAGCCATCATATTCTTTGCATCAAACATTTGCTGGGTCAATTCAGGAACGGTTAAGGATCTGAATGATTGGGAACGCAAGGAGGTTAATGGGGCGTAACCAACCATGAAGAAATGCAATCTTGGGAAAGGAACCAAGTTGACAGCTAATTTTCTCAAGTCAGAGTTCAATTGACCTGGGTAACGTAACGAGGTGGTGACACCAGACATAACAGACGAAACCAAGTTGTTCAATTCGGCGTAAGATGGTTGTGGTAATTTCAAAGTTTTTTGACAAATGTTGTATAAGGCTTCGTTATCAATACAGAAGGTTTCATCGGAGTTTTCCACCAATTGATGGATCGACAAGGTGGCATTATAAGGTTCGATAACGGTATCGGAGACCTTTGGCGATGGAACAACCGAGAAGGTGGCCATCATTCTGTCGGGGAATTCTTCTCTCATTTTCGATATCAATAAGGTACCCATACCGGAACCAGTACCACCCCCAAGCGAGTGGGTGATCTGGAACCCTTGTAAGGAGTCACATCCTTCTGCTTCTCTTCTAATCACATCCATGACCGAGTCGACCAATTCCGCCCCCTCGGTGTAATGTCCCTTGGCCCACACATTGCCAGCACTACTCTGGCCAAAAATATAGTTGTCGGGTCTGAAGAGATTCCCGATGTTCGACGTCTTGACCCCGTCAATGGTGCCCGGTTCCAAATCCACCAACACCGCACGAGGGACGTATTTACCTGAGCTCGCTTCGTTAAAATACACGTTAAGCTTCGCTTTTTGAAGATCATCTTCTCCGTGGTAGTTACCATTGTTATCCAATCCATGTTCACCACAAATAGTCTCCCAAAACGCAGCACCCTAAAATGTTAGTATCTAATTCCGTGCGTATCGCATGTGGGACGATTCCACCGCCAACCAAAAATTCCACCGCAAAATCGTCCCCTTATTCCTCTAATCCTCAATACATACAATCTGGTTACCACATTGACCAGTAGACAAATGAATCTATATAAAAATGTTAGTAATCTGACATCCCAAAAATCCTACTTCGGCGCGTCCGTCCTAGAGGCATCACCGATCTCGACGGCGTCTAATGGTCAATTTTTTTACTAAATCGTACGTACAATTTCTCTCATATTATGCTGTCTATAATTCTGAATTCACTTATGTGTATAGCAATAATTTTCAAACTATAAATATTCCTGTAGATGAATTCTTTATAATTCGATAATACTAATAGTATCAGATTGACGTTTGTTTTGAATTTTGTTGTTTAATATTTGGTGAATCCACGACCTTTTATGATGAGGTTTTGTGTAATTGTTTTTTTATTACCCCCATTAGGCAATATAGGATGGTAGATGGCATAGAAGGTGTAGATGGTGGATGGGTTGGGTATATATGAGGTGTAGAGTTGACTGAGGTGTAATACTGGGAGTGAGACGTGAGACAGAGACGTGAGACAGAGCCGTGAGATAGAGACGTGAGATGAATGGGATGTAGTATGAGGATGAAGAAGCCTCATGTAGGAAGGAAGATCGGAAGAGATCGAGAATGGTGGGGAGCGGACAGGTCAACGATAAGCCAATGCAAATGATAAGTAGAGGTATACGTATAAATAGTGCAATTAATGTGGTTGGTGCTTGGAATGGTACGGATAGATGATGAGAAAATGTATTTGAATACAGACGACATAATAATGTGCAAATTATCAAATTTTGCAATCATTACTTAAAATTAATTTATGAATTACAATAGACAAAATATGTATGTGACGTACCTAATAACATCTACCACACATACCAAGAAACATATAGAGAGATATCAGATTTATTAATACAGATTTACTAATACACGTAGATTAGAAATGCGTTGCACTTTTTGCATCCGTATGTATAGAATAACTCTATAACTACACCATAACACCCTTAACAACCGTAATCAACCACCACTGGCTCCTTGTATAAACCTTGTTTGTTTCGTAGGCATACGTGCTCGTACGACAAACTAAATATCCTCTCGTTTAGATAACTTCCCAGCAACCAATATGACTCCAGACAACCACTATAAACTATGTGACTCCAGATTATCCAGGTCAAGATATAGCCCCGGATTAACCAGTTCATCCAGACCATCCAGCTCCACCCCGAAACAACGCCAGCATCTCGTTCCTGAAGGCTGGCAGAACAGAAATAGGAACATCCTGCACATAGCCGCGCAGCCCACCACTTCCATAAACTAATCTGAACCCATTTGCTGTTATCTACTAAACAAAAGGGCAAAAACACCATAAAATAGAGGCAATCATGGCCAGTAATATTCAAAACAGGACGTTTGAATTCCAACAGTGCATATCGTCTTTTGACAAACTAAATAAAAAGAATAATGTGGGCCGAAATCCATCGCAAACAACGCCGGCTAGAAAAACTCAGTTCAGTCAACAGGCCAGTATAATCGCCAAAGATATTGCCCATACCACCGAGCTTTTGAGTAAGCTCGCGTTGCTCGCCAAGCGTAAACCACTTTTCGACGATAAACCCATCGAGATCGGAGAACTCACGTATGTTATCAAACAGGACATTTTCAAGATCGAAGAAAACATCACCTTGCTCCAGAAATACGCCAAGGGAGAGTCGTCGATCCAAATAGACACGCAGGTGACACAGTACTCGAAGAACGTGTTGAACTTGTTGAACTCGAAGATGAAAAACATCAGTGGCGAGTTTAAGAACGTGTTAGAGATCCGCCAGAAGAACGAACTCATGAACAAGAATAGAACAGAACATTTCTTATCGGCCGCCACAAATAATCGTGCCAGCAATAACCACTCGCCCTTGACCAATCTCTCGCCCCAGCTGTCAAACAACAACAACTTATCGGGGTTGGGCGAAAACCCCTACCTCATGCAAGCACAGAGCAACGGACAGGCCCAGACGACATACGACCCAGATTTGGACCAAGATGCATACTCAAACTACAACAACGGCGAGTTCTTGTCGATCCCTGACCAAACGAGGCAGTTGTTGCTCATGGAAGAACAAGGAAACCAGTACTTGCAAGAGAGAAATTCTGCCGTGGAAACTATAGAATCTACCATCAACGAAGTGGGGAACCTCTTTCAACAATTAGCATCGATGGTCAGCGAACAGGGTGAGGTCATCCAGAGAATCGACCTGAATGTCGAGGACATCAACATGAACATTTCCGGAGCTCAGAGAGAATTATTGAAGTATTATGCTCATATTTCGAGTAACAGATGGTTATTCTTGAAGATCTTCGGGGTGTTGATAATGTTCTTCTTAATATGGGTCCTAGTTAGTTAATTAGTTACAGTATCCCCTAATATATACCCTTGTACACTAGCGTTGTGTCCGTTCCCGTTGGCATCTTGTCGTCGGTAGACCTCCTAAGTATTATTATAATCGTCGTGTATATACCATAAAAATACCAGTCAAAACCGTCATAGATGAGTGATTGATAAACTAATTACCGTGATAATACCGTTAAATCTGGTTTAGCTTTCACAAATCAGGCTAAATATAGATCAAAGCGTTTCGTTTGCATCAAATCTATAGTGAACAGTGAGTAGCGATCATATCCGAAGAATTTATCGTGGTGGAAATTGAATATATCTCGAAAGTTGCCCCTGCTAGCGATAAGACACTAGGAAGACATGAATACTAACTGAGTGATAGGAAACTATATCAGAAATATAAAAGTCGCCTTAATTTATTAATTTAAATATAATCATCTATTTATTGCATAAGACTACGAATAAGAATGTGGAATTATCTATTTGGCGGAAACAAGCAACAGAAGAAGGAGTATCCGAAGAAGGCCATTGTTGAGTTACGTGAGCACATCCAGATGTTGAATAAAAAACGTTCACATTTGGAGCTGCAGATTGCGGACCAGGATGCTTTAGCACGGAAATACATCACTACCAACAAGGCATTGGCCAAGAATGCGTTAAAGAGAAAGAAGGGCTACGAGGCAAACTTGATGAAGATAGAGAACCAGATTGACTCTTTGGAGACACAACTCACGTCGATTGAGGGCGCAAACTTGAACTTGGAAACTATGAAGGCCATGAAGCAAGGTGCACAAGCCATGAAGCAAATCCACGGCGAATACGACGTGGACAAGGTCGAAAATACGATGGACGACATCAGAGAACAAGTCGAGTTGGCGGACGAGATATCCGAGGCTATATCAAGACCGGTGGGCACAGAATTTGTCGACGAAGACGAATTGGACGAAGAGCTTGCCATGTTACAAGAGGAAGAAAAGGAACACAAACAGCAAACTCCTGCCCAAAAGGCCCCTGCCGCCAAGGTGTCGGCCCCAGAAGAGGAAATGCCAGACTTCCCTACGGTCAACAAGAACAAGCCTGCGGCTTCCACTGAAGATGACGAGGACGAGGAAGCTTTGAAGGCATTGCAAGCAGAAATGGGTCTTTAATCCTTCTCACACATATACATATTACTACTTGGAGTTATTTTTGTTTTATCCCATTGCAATACCGGGCCCACGGTGAAGACAAAGGTTGAAGATTGTGCTTTTTTGTTCTCTCCCTTCCCTGTCATCTTCTCCTATCTGTCCTATCTCTATTCCATCTCTTCTCACCTTTTTTTACTCCCTTCACTGCGGTTTGCCGTTCTTTCTATTTATTTTGCAATCGGAATGTCATCCTGCTCTATAAAGCACATCTAATACTTTAATTCTCTGTATGAATACCTGTTTATGAATGTAATGAATAGATATCACTTATAAGTCTTCTGTCTGTAGAGATGAAAATACTGCATAGAAAGTTTTTTTTTTTTTTCTCTTTCTGCTAAAATTCACTACTACAAGATGGCGGAATTGAAGTGAAATATTCTTGTATTCTTAGTTAGATATCTTGTTCAACACTGATATTCGTCACAAAGGGTAGCTGAATATGATGTTCAAAAGATTATCTAGGAAACACATAGCAGTTGATTTGGTTCGACGCTACGGTGTTGAGAATCAGAGATTGCAAAGCATAAGATCAACTACTACTATCACAAGATCGCCGGGGATACCAAGTGAGAGTTTCCCTATATATAATTCGTTCTTAGAAGACTTGAAAAACAAGAAGGATATACCCGGAAGAAATGCTTTATATAATAAGTCATTTTCAGAGATAAATGGAGATTTTTTGAATACGATTTCGAGAGAAGAAACGCAAGAAGTTGCATGGTCATCTCAATATGACCCGGTATCAAGATCACCATTTGCAAAGGATGTTGTTCATTTGCAATCGCTTTTGGATGCGTTGTTATCGAGCAAAAATTTCGATAGGGCAGATAAGATATTGAAAGCAATTCATCCACTCTTGTCATCTCAAGAGAACTTTATATTTTCGCTCAATAAGTATTTGGAAGCATGGTCACTTGAAAGCTCGACATCGATCATAGAGATGGAGAACTATTTGGCTAGCATTCAGCTGCATTTCAGAGATGTGGTTCCAAACGATAGAACATACGCCATTTTGATTTCAAAAGCGATAGACGATGAAAAGATCTGCATGTCATACATTTCTAGAATTAAGTCCAACACCTCGATGATCAGAAAGGTCTTTACGCATATAGATATTATTGGTATAGATGGCTTGATGAAAATTTTCAAAGATCCTTCCGTTACTGAAAATCTAATTCCGAAGGATCTCTGTCCGTTATTTGCACAAGTGAGAAAGCTAGACGGTAGCAGCGATATGTATGACGTCGATTCCGAAGAGAATGTGCCTGAATATTTCAAAGATACCGAACTGAGCGTACCGATCATTGAAAAGGATTCTGATTCTTTGAAAGCGGTTGACTCATTTGGTTTGAAAGTTATTAGACATACACTTTTGGGTTTGAAAACCGATAACAATTCACCTGTTCTAGATGAATTCATTAATAACATTGAAAATGAAATGAATAACCATGTCTTGCATAACACTTCGAACCAAGAGAAGAAAGATTATTTTGCTGTTTACAAATGTTTAAAGACCGACGAACAGCGGGAAAAGTTCAATGAAGCATTAGATTTATTTAACGAGGGAAGACAAAGACAGTTAGAATTGAGAGGTGTAGACGGAGCCAAAGAAAAATGGAAACATGAGTTCGAAGAT